CGTTATAGAAGTTGATGAAGTTAAAGAAGTTGATAAAGTTATAGAAGTTGATAAAGTTATAGAAGTTATAGAAGTTGATAAAGTTATAGAAGTTGATAAAGTTATAGAAGTTGATAAAGTTATAGAAGTTGATAAAGTTATAGAAGTTGATAAAGTTGTTAAAGTTATAGAAGTTGATAAAGTTATAGAAGTTGATAAAGTTGTTAAAGTTATAGAAGTTGATAAAGTTGATAAAGTTATAGAAGTTGATAAAGTTATAGAAGTTGATAAAGTTATAGAAGTTGATAAAGTTATAGAAGTTGATAAAGTTATAGAAGTTGATAAAGTTATAGAAGTTATAGAAGTTAATAAAGTTATAGAAGTTGATAATGATAAAGTTATAGAAGTTGATAAAGTTATAGAAGTTGATAAAGTTATAGAAGTTGATAAAGTTATATTAGTTGATAAAGTTATAGAAGTTGATGAAGTTATAGAAGTTGATAAAGTTATAGAAGTTGATAAAGTTATAGAAGTTGATAAAGTTATTGAAGTTGATAAAGTTATAGAAGTTGATAAAGTTATTGAAGTTGATAAAGTTATAGAAGTTGATAAAGTTATTGAAGTTGATAAAGTTATAGAAGTTGATAAAGTTATAGAAGTTGATAAAGTTATAGAAGTTGACGAAGTTATAGAAGTTGATAAAGTTATAGAAATTGATATGCGCATAATATATCAAACGGGCTGACAGATAGTTTTCTTCGATAATGAAATCGTAATATAATGTACGTAATCAGAACGCCATAGTAGGCTACATTTCCAAACATGACTTTCATAACTTTGACGAACCTGAAAAATGTCAAATATTGACTGAGCTTGGTAAACCAATGAAATATCCATGAATATAATCATATATTTCATACATCGACATTGCCATATTGACTATTTGGTGTTATACACTACTAAGTACTATACTGAATACCTCGTATCTTCAAATAAGACTTATGCATGCTTAAATGACAACCTCGTAAGTAGCACGAATCTCATAAAAATTGGGTCTCACAATAAACAATAACAGGTAACAATACAAGTATACTTCAATGACATTCATTCCAAAAGGCATCATTGTGGCATAATTAGAGTAAAAATGAGGCAGTTTTTCTCGATTTCCTCAAAACCACAAATAATCAGTTACAAGGTTTTCACAGGACGGCGACGATAGGCGAAAATATTCGACAAATCTATGATATACTAGTATACAGAACAACATGAAATACAAGGACTTCTACTACTGATTGATTTTGAAAAAGCATTCGATAGCGTCGCATGGAATTTTATCTACACAGTCCTTGAT